AAATCTGTATATAAATTTTAACTGAACTATTTAGAGGTGAATTTTATATCAAGATTATCCTATCTGAATACATATGTATTGACAAGTGTAGAAAGTGAAGTGAAATCTTTGCTGTGGCGGAATGTGGGATAGGGTTTTCGTTTCGCCATTATCCAAATTTAAAGTCTCTAGGCTAATTTCAATATACTCATTTTATTTTCGTGAAGGAGTATAAATATATTGATATTTCAGAATGAAAGAAGTTAAAAACCAAGAATATAAATATTTTATATTAATTATTTTATATTCTCTTGCTTTACTCATACCGCTATCCCCATACTGGCCAAATCAATCCAGCTTATTATCTCATTAAAGGCAATGAAGAATTGAAAATGTCAATCGCTCCTCAGGATCTCCGCTGTCTACGCTAATGCCTCGTCGAATGCCAGACATACAAATTCACATAAGAACATATCTATTCACTCGCATCTAAACACATCAAGCCCCAAATAGATTATGTATCTAATAACAAAAATCCATAGCTATCAGGGTTGTAAAGCATAAAGCACATCAATAAATTATCCATATATCCTATGTAGGGCAACAAGAATATGTTAGGAGTCGAGCGCACAGGACAGCATAATTAAAGTTTTCCGACTCCCACTAGCAACTGAACTTAATCAAATATCGATATTTTTCGATTGGCCACTCCTCGACGGGCGCACCACCTGATAAATTATGCTACTACTGAGCTGGGTCAAGCGTAATTTATGAGAGCAAACTTTGCGCTGGCAGGCTGTAAAGCTATGCGGGCTAGATGGTGGGGGACTCCAAAAGTATTAAACTGTAGCTGAGTTAGAAGTATATATAAAGGAATTCATGTAGAGACGGACACGGAGGCATGGCGTAAAAAACGTATAAAGTGGGTATTCAAACTTGATAAGGCAGCAAGTCGAAAGTGGCCATTGAATGCTTCAGCTACAGACGGATATGCCACGAAACCTACATACTATCATCTTTGTTTCCTTACCAGAGTAAAACCTATATTGTCTGTCTTCGTTTTCCTATCAGTTATTTAAAACAAGTATTCGAAACTGTTCAAGGTTTTGTGAAGGAGCACTTAAAAAGTAATACCATTTCGTCAGACGAATATTTCATAAATTCGTAAAAGTCCAGTCACTGACTACGAATGCAAAATCCACAAAATCTATAAGACCCTAAGGCACAGAGCACAGAGCCTTGATATTCTTTAAAGAAATGGGCGTGAGTATTCAAAGAGTATTCAAAGGTATTCAAAAACTATTAACACTTTGTCAGACGAGTCCAAATCAAAATATAGAGGAACCTTTCACAGAACCTAAATACTCTTTACTTTCTGTAAAATATTGAATGTGCATGGGTATTCAAAAAGTATTCAAAGGTATTCAAAAACTTTTAAAACTTTGTGAGACAAATCAAAACTAGATAACCCAAACGCAAGTCTTTTGCCACCAATGGATATTCCACAAAGCCTATATGCTCGTAATGCATGGTAAAACATTGAGCAAAAAGACACATACACTCATGAGACATATGAGCAAGGATTCAGGGAGCATTCAAAATTATTAACACTTAGTGAGTTGAGTCAAAACAAAACAGCCTTTCTCAGAACCCAGATACTCTGAGCACAAGCCCCAAATATGCGCTTGAGGAATATGCGTAAAATATTCAATGTCAATTAGTATTCAAAATGTATTCAGAAGATATTACCACTCTGTGAGACCAGTCGAAACTGGATACCAAAGGTCGAGTCTCTAACTATTGAGGAGCCACTCACAAAACCTACATACGCTTAAAGCTTTGTTAGCAGCATTAAGCTCAAAACACATCTATAATCTTAAGGAATGTGCAGGAGTATTCTAAAGTATTAGGCACAAGTCCCATATACTCTTTACCATTTTTGAGCGAGTATCTAAAATGAATTAACACTTTGCGGGGCGAGTGAAAACTGGATAACAAAAAATCGAGTCTCTCAAGGGAACTTTCACCAAACCCATTTACGCTTCTAGCTTTTTATTGAGCGCTCCAAACGTATTAAACACAAAGCCTGGACCCTCATAACGGTTTATGAAATAGCATTAAAAGAAGAGTGTGAAAATGTATTCAAGAAATTCAAGTGTAAAGAGCCTTTCACAAAACCCATTTACACTTAACACTTTAGGAACGAAAATTCGGCAACAAAAATAACTTTCCTGAGAATTTTGCCAATTAAACGTATCTATTGGGTATACCTAGAAATCTATGATTGTCAGTTACACTTCAAAATTGTCAGCATACAAATTATTTCTATTTTTTTTTTTTCAATTCACTGAAGCACAACAAATTTCATTGGAATGACAAAATTCGGACGATGGCGTCGCGTTTGTTGTAAAGAGATTTGTTGCATTATCAATTATTTAATAATTGTTATAAATTAAAAGGCACTTCCTGTCAGTTGCTGTTATTGTTGTTGTTGTTGTTGTTGTTGTTGTCACGTTTCAGCTGTCGATTGTGCGGCAATTGAGGCTCGGCACGCAATCTTCGTGTAGCTAAGCCAGCGACAGATTTCGGATTGCATTTGGACAAAGCAGACATCCCATATACCCTGCCAGTAGTAACTACCTATTCGGCCTCTCTCTCTCTCTCTCTCTCTTGCTGGTTCTCCCAGCCTCGGCTTGTATTTATTATGATTACATGGCATTTGTGTGGGTGATTGCACCCATTGAGGTGCCAGTGTATTGCGGGTGCGGGTGGCACAGCGTAAAGGGGCAGGCCATCCGAGAGTGAAAGACTTACAAAATGACAAACTGACAGTGTGACAGGCGAGCCAGGGCAGAGCGGGGCAGAGCGGGGCGGGCAGCTGGAACGGGCGGAACGGCCGGGGCGAGGAGCAACCGCAGCTGCTGCCTCTGCTAGTGGGAGTGAATCAACTTATTTTTTTGTTTACATAATCCTTGCACGTTGTCTGCTTGTATGTGTGTGTGTGTGCGTGTGTGTGTTTGTGTCTGTGTCTGTGTCTGTCTCTCTCTCTGTGTGTGCGTGCGTGTGTGTGTGTGTGTGTGCCCTCCGTCTATGCATGTGTGTGCGTGTGTGTGCAAGTCAAATCGCAGCTTCCACCTGCAGCCCATTCGAGCTGCCTTTGAAAAGCGGCAACTGCTGGACCGCAGAATGTTAATTTGGGTCAAGTTTTGTAAGCGTTACAAATGCCAAGCCCCACATTCCAAGCACATACAAATACATATATAAATATATCTACATTATGTATGTATGTAATCATATTTATATATATATATATTTGCGACTTTCCTGCAGCACAAAGGTATGCAACACATTTATATATATCTATATAGGTATATAGGTGATATAAACACTTGATGTTTTGGTCCTTTTTGTTTAATCTCTGTGCTTTATCATTGCCTGATTGGCTGCTCATTGTTATTGTTATTGTTATTGTTATAGTTGCTTTTGTTCTGCATGCTTTCATTAGGCATTTGTTGTTGTTTTTTAATTTACGCTATTTTATTTATTTTTCGTTTTTATTTTCACTTTTGTTTTGTTGCTTACTTTCAATACTTGACGTCGTTGATATTTCTCGCTTGTTTATTTTGTAAAATTTTATTTAAATTTTATATTAAATATTTGAATAAATATATACATGTGTATATATATTTTCGTTAAGGCATTTATTGTGCAAAAAACTGTTAACTTTAAAAAAAATATATATATATTTGTCGACAACAACAAAAAAAAAAAAGAGTGGTAACAAGGCGAACAAACTGTTGTTAGAAATATTATATTTATGGCGTTTGTTGTTGGATGCGCTGACTGCGCTTGCTGCTCTTGGTGTTTGTGTACGTGTTCGACGTGTTGGCGCACTCGAGTTGCGTTGCGTTTGTTTGGCGGTCAAATCAACGACTGAAAGCGTTGCCACGTTCCACGAGCGAACGAACCAACCGACAAACATTTAATGGTGTGCCAGATGAGAGCCGTGTGTCTCGTATGCCCAGTCTCTCCACGTCTCTGTGTGTGTGTGTGTGTCAGTGTGTGCGTTGAGCATTAACAGCAAGCACAAGAACTATACACACACACACACACACACATATATATATACATGAATGGGGCTGCACGGAGCTGCCAACTTGGTCCGTGGTGAATTTGAGGCCGCTGCTACGGCTCCTGGCGCTGCTTCAAGTTGCGTGCGGCATGTGTATGGAGCGGCGGGCTGCGGTTCATAACCGACTTATATAACGCACACTAGCAACGAACTCACCACACGTAAACGTAACGCAGGCAGCAGCAGCAGCAGCAGACAGCAGCAGCAGGCAACAGCAGGCAAGCAAATGCGGCGAGCTTTTCACCACACCCACAGCGACAGAGAGGTGAGCGCAGCTGTGCTGTGCTGGTGTGCGTGTTAGAGGCGCGCTGGTATGCGTGTTAAAAGCTGCACCAGCAACATGGACAAGAACTTCCAACCAAATCACCAACAACAGCAACAACAATAGCAATGCGACCAAAAATTAAATGAAAATAGCCATTGCCTAATGCCAGGCGCTCCAAGAGATAAGCAACAGCTCAAAAAAAAAAAAAGTACAAATAAAAATTTCTATAAAAGAAAATGATTACGAAGTAAATCGCATGTCACACATTCTCCGTATGAATGGCACCGTGCGTCAAGCAGTTGAACGCTGGGGTCTGACGTACGCACCGCTGTCAGTCAAACAGTTGAACAAACAAACAACACACAATACAACAGTAGCACACACACACACACACACACACACAGACAGACACACGCACACGCACACACTCAGACAGAGATGGCGGAGACAGAGTCAGAGGCAGTGTAATGAAAACATTCGCCTTTTCGCCAAGTTGCGTGTCTTTAAATGACGTAACCACCGGCTACAGCACACAACGTACCACTACATAACGGGCCATGGGTACCGTTCAGTTCAGTTCAGCATTGAATGCGCGACGCCCATATCCACGTGCTTGGCCCCCGGGCCAACGACCATCATTGAGAGTTTGCCCAGTTAAAAGTTTACATTTACATATCTGATGTGTTTTCCTTTTCTTTTGCTTTCATTTTTTTTTTTTTTGTCTGTTGTTGTTGCTTGTTGTTTTTGCCACGCTTGTTAATTGCCCAGTGGCCACGGCTTCAGTTTTTATGGCGCCCGGGCCCAAGCAGCCATTAGGTGTTAATTTGACGAAGACGGACAGAAAAAAAAAATAAATAAAAAACAGAAAACACACAGTAAGTGCCAGTAACTAAGTAAGCAACAATGCAATACAAGACAATGGTACACAATTCTTCTGCCTCCCTCTCTCTCTCTCTCTCTCTCTCTGTCTGTCTCTTTCTTTCGGTGCACGCATATATCAGCGAAACACTGATTTGCATGCAAAATCTCAAAAGGATTTCATGTATATCATAGTTCACTTTAGGTAATGAAAACATAAATGGAAGGTAGTACGAAAAGTCTAGTTGATGGTGTATAAAAACAAATACGAAGAGTTCATTATTATGTGGAATACCTACATATGTCAGCTATATTAGATTAGGTTACGCTATTATAAATAGAAATATTAGATTATTGTAGTAATTGTAATAATAGTAGTAAATTGTAGTAATAGTAGTAGGAATAATAATAAACAGTAGTAGTAAATGCTATAAATGGTTGTAATAATAGTAATGAACAGTAGAATAAATAATGACAAATAGTAGTAAGAATACTAGGCAGTACTAGTAGCAGTAAAAGTATTATTGCTGAATAAATAGTAGTATTAATGGAATAAGCAGTTGGAGTAGACATAATAATAGTAATAGTAGCGGAAAAAATAATAGTAATGGAATTAGTAGTAGTAGCAGAAGTAACAGTAGTAATAGTAGCTGAAAAAATTGTAGTAGTAAAGTAGAGTAGTAGTAGAATTAATAAAGTTTAGAGGAGCAAATGAAATAGAATCTAGAGAAGTAATTATTGTAGTAATGAAATTGTAGTATAGTAACACTATTTTTTAGCTACTACTACTAATATTTCATTRCAATAATTACGCCTACAGATACTATTTCATCTGCTACTATTACTACTAGGTAATAGAATTAGTAGTAGTGGTAAAATAATATGAATTATAATAGCAGATGAAATAGTATCTGTAGGAGGAATTATAGCAATAGTAGCAGAAAAAATAGTATTAATAGTAGTAGGAGTAATAATAATGAAAATAGTAGTAATAGTAATTGAAATAGTATCACTAAATATGGTAACAGTCGTAGTAATATTACTAGAAATAGTAGTGATAAAATTATGGTTAAATAAAACAATTTATTCAAAATTAAATAAACTTTATAATAACTTAGCCAACGCTTCAGAAAATAAAATTTCTTAAATATAAAAATCATCAATCAGAAAAAAAAAAAC